GGGGGGGGGCTGTCCATGTTTTTCTTAGCAGCTTTGGTTTTTCTCTTCAGCCTCCTTATTTGGGCTCCATGCATCATGTAAAAGTAATCAGAATCTGTGTTCAAAACGTGCTGAATTTATATACTCTGCTTTAAGTACTAATTGTTTACTAACGATTAACAGCAGGTATAGGTATGTAAGTGGAGAATAGTCACCTCATTCTTCTCTTCTGTAAATAACATGCAACAAACCTGAAACCTAAATACTTTTGACCTATGTTTTACACATCAGGTGTCTGCCCCAGCCTTGAGTGTTTAGAAAATCTCATCTAAACCAAATTCATTTAAAATGCCAGAAAATGAGATTAATGAAAATGCACTGGTGTACCCCAGTGAGAAAGGTCTTCCAGCTGTTTTGTTGTAGCACTTGTACCTCAGAGCTCTGTAGCAGAGAATTGAAATTTCATACAGCTATTTGTGTGTAATTGTCTCAAAGTCAAGGATGTTCCTTTTCCTGTCCCTGTTAACATTTGGCAAATTGATGTCTCTGAAAAAAAACCTAAACATTTTTAATGTGCTTAGTAAGACTTTACTGTCAAGTTTTCATGGACTACTAGTCAAATTATTTCAGAAACATATACGTGGGTTCTACCGTTTGGCCATATTTCAACAGGCCAATCAGTCTTCTACTATATGTGTGGCTTCTAATTTATGCTCCTTTAGATTCCACATTATGTTTCACCTCTGTCTTGAAGCTTGCTGGTCAGTTGGAATTTCTTTTTCCCTTTCCTTTCTATCTTTCTACTTGTACTGCTTCACTATTTCTGTCATCCCTCATCTCTTTCTAACCATCATTAAAATCCGAAGTGGGAAACTTACAGAACTGCTGGTTGTTCACTACAGTCCTGTTATCTACATGTTTCCTACACATTAGTCTTATTTCTTTCACTTTGTAAAACCCGTGAATAGTCTCTTCTGCTTCAGTTTATCTGTACAGTTTTACAGACAGGCACAAATTCACACTGCCTGCATTCTAGTAGGATGCAAGCCAGGTCTGGAGCAAGAGCTGCAAAACTGGGATTAGCTCTGTGCTGCCCTCAGGCTAAGAAGCCTTGCTAAAATTTGGGATTTACTGTCTTGGACTCACCTCTTGTTTGGGATGTAATTCAGCTCTGGCTTTGGACGGTGGACTGCTGACTCAAAGTGTGCTTGAACACACTTCTGCCCCTTTGCGAGAGACGGTGCAAGTATGCTCTTTGTGCACAGAAAGGCTGAATCAGAGGGACTCTCACAGTTGTTATTGTTCTTATATTACTGATGCCTTTGAACATTGCCCTTCTGTAAAACGTGCGTTTGTTAACATTGCAGGTACTTTACTGCCCTACATCATACATCTGTTTGGCTGCTTAGTCATTAGATAACGGGATTGATTGCTCAGATAGTGGTATTTTTTTATATACTATGGCTTTATGTGAGGAATTCCGTTCAAATATATAAATATCTTCAATAAGATAAAAAAGTACACAAAGGGATTTTGTTACCTTTCTTTTTTTTTAATAATTAAATTGTATTGACGGGACTGTTTCTGTATTGCTGTTCATTGTGGAAATTTTCTTAATATTGGATTATGACATTATTTTGAGAAGAGCAGCTATATAATCTACTCTAAATTGTTTTACAGATAAAAGTGTTTAATGGGCCAGATTCTTTTCTCAAATGAGATGTCTAGGTGAAAAGGTCCACTGTAGAGTGACAGGGAATAACTGTAGATTTTCCCTCACAGAGCTGGGAGAAGGCTCTAGCCAAGGACAGGTTTCCTACGGTTTAAACTTCAAAAGCGTGTTAGCTGGCAAAGCTGCCTGCTTCCTGTCTTCTACAGCAGGAACAGGACAGAAACACCGTGCTCATCTGAACTCTAAGAGACATACCACGTTATTGATTGCTTTTGTTCAGCGGAGCTCACACGTGTCTGCCTGTCGCGTTGGGACGTCTTGCCACAGGAACCCCACGAGCTGCTCTTCTGGCAGAATGTCCCCGCTCTGCTGCCTGTCCTCTTGAAGGATCTCTTTCTGTACTCCTGCATTTATAAGGAGATTGATAACCTGGTTTTATATGAATCCATGTGAATATTTATAGCTCAGATTTTTTGTGTGTGTGTGAGCGTCGTTCTGCCGATTGAAGGAAACCAAAGCAGTGGTAAAGCTTCTGGCGTGAGCTGTGGCTTTTTCTGCAAATGAAGTGGTTGCTAGTCAGCCTCTTGGGAGGCTGCAGTCACTACGTGCTCCAATAAATAAACTCACCTGTCGGGGATATTACAGACAAGACTGGAATATTGACTAATATAATGATGTTTCATGAGCCTGTTTGGGTGTTTTAAAACTCATTCATTTAAACGAATGCATAGCAAAGCTGCCAAAGAATGGTGAACACATGTCTTGGCCTTATTTGAAAATATATACACTTTTTATAGAGAAATAGTTTATTTATCTGGCTTTTCCAAAAACAACCTGCAGAAGTATTTTTCCAGAAAAGACACTTTCTGTTTTCATAAGCAAAGCCAGGCTTTTGTCACTTGCATGTACAAATGCCTGTATGTATGCAAAATGCTTTTTTTTTTTTTTCCTGTTAGAAAATTAAAAAGCTCATACTTGGAATTACCCTTTCATTAATTTGAAAAGGGCTTTTTTTAAAAAAGAAAACTGAATCACTCTGCTTGCACTGCTGTGTATTGCCATTACACTTTAATGTATTGGTCAAAGTGATCCATGTGAAACCAACATTTTGGAGTTAAATTTTACTCTGGTGTTTCCTTTGAAATCTTTCCAAATCCTTTCTGGTTCATTCTTTATTGTACTGGGCTCATAGCTTCTCCCTAGCAAGGCTGCTAAGCATCTCGCCTCTTGACTACTTCTGTTTTGTCTTTGAAAACAGTTTTAGCATCCCACATCCATTTTTTTTTTTTTTCACCAGGAAATGGTACTTGCCATTATTTTCCCAGAGAAGCCTTTTCAAGTTCCTTATCATCCTTGAATTCTCTCAGCCTAAGAGGAAACGAGCATCAGTCAGGGTTGTTGATTCTAGACTGATCCTAATAACATTAGCCTCACAAGGCCCAGAAGATTTCTTTCTCAATGAAGGCAGTCAAATTCTATAACCATTTTACTAAATTTATCAAACGCTTTTTTTTTTTTTTTTTTTTACTCCAAGGCTGTATCTTAGTGTTACTGCTGGGGTGGTCAGAAACTTCCTTCTATTCAGGCTATATTCAATGTTCTGTTTATGCTGTTTGTTGTAGTGCCAACATGGTCCTTCAGCATTAGTTTTTCTCCTTTGACGTTTATCCCACTGATGCATTTTTGGAAGCAATACTATCCTTTCCTGGCCTTTGTTTCACTAAGGTATAAAAGTTAAACTCTTTTGGTCTTCTTTAATGTGATACAGTCTTCATTCTCTTAATCAACCTAATAATCTTTCACTGCATCTGTTCCTGGTTTTATTCTGATTTCTTGAAATAACTTGTCAAGAACATGACAGATGAGGTCACTGTGCTATTGTTTTTGCGTACCTCCTGGGGTAGCACCCAGGATGTATTTTAGGAGCAAATTTCCTTTTTTCCTGTCCCCAGCTCACTCATGGATCATAGTCATTCTAAAACTGGAAAATAGTGTGAGATCTTACTTCTTTTTGCTGGTTTCACTTGTTCCAGGCTTACAGCACAGTGCTAGACATAAGGCTCCAAAAGTACAGGCTTAAATTTCATTCCATGTCTATTTGTTTCATCATTAAGAAACCCCTTTCTTCCAATATGATAAATCCATCTCTGGGTTCACAGAGCCTCCTGGCTCACTGTCTGTAGCAAATCTCATTGGCATTCTCATCGTTTGTGCCTGTGTCTTCTTTGAAAGTATTAAATGTTACTATTCCAAAGCTTGTACTTAGAAATCTCAGTAGTATCTTCCATCCAGCCTAATTGTCTCTTTCTGTAAAGCTTGCTATAAAACATCATCCGGTATCACATTACAGTTCTTGTGCAAATTGCTGTTTTCTTGAGTTTAGCCAAAAATCACATATGCTACTAGTCAAATATTTTACTATTTTATAAATCTTTTACAGATGCGTTAGATTTTGCAACGCTGCCCTTAAAATATAGTTGGGTATTGCTGACAATTTTTCTAGCTCAAGAGGTCTTTAATGTATTTTCTTCCATACTTTTTAATTATTCTTTTGTTTAGAAATGTTTCTAAATCTTGCATACTAATGAGATCTGTTTGTGCAGTCATCTGGGAAGCTCCCTCCATTCCTTCTTAAAAATATAGGTTCATTATTTGCTTTTCTCCATCTTATGGCATAATTTGTTGATGATTCTTTTGATTTAAAATTAAGTAAATGAGCAAATCGTCATGCAGCTTTGTCTACTAGTTCATTCAGGGTTATGGCAAGAAAACTTTCCCCATGGTTGGAATGTTTATGCTCTCTGAGTATTGCTTTCACTTTCAGTGAAAATTTCGGACTGATCTGCCCTGACCCTCTCTGTTTACAGAAACTGATTTTTTTTAATTATTCACGTAGGGGAATTCTGTTATATCAGATAAGTGAAGTCTGGAGGTAACACCAAATTATTATGTAATTTAGTTTCCCCCTGTTTTCGCTTCTGCTCTCACAGATATATATTCAGGTCTGAGGTGCCATGACTGCCAGAACTGGGAACAGTAAAGGCTCCTTTATTTTGAAAGAAATTTTAAGCTGGAACCTCACATGAAGGTGTCCGAAAGCTTCATTTAGTATTATTTATCATGACATTTAGTGCCACTGTCAGAAAACTCCATGTCCGTTCTGTGACTGTCTGCTTCAGACAGTCATTGCACACCCTCTTCCTCTTCTAGATCGATAAGCCAATGATCCTCTACCAACGGAGTTAGGCTTTGTGTTTTTCCTCTTGATGATATCGAAATGTTTTGCAGTGAAGAAAAATTCGCTACTGCTTTCCATGTCCTTTGACGCAGGTTGTGGAGTCTGGCCGACCATGCCTTGATAGCTCGGTGTAACATGGAGGAAGCGGTGCGCAGCGTGTCTTTCAGTCCTGATGGGTCACAGCTGGCGCTTGGGATGAAGGATGGCTCCTTCATTGTTCTTCGAGTGAGGTGAGAAAGTCTTACCTTGCTTCTCAGGTTAGTGGGGGGTACAAGAAAATCTTATCAGTTTCTCACCTCAGTGGTTTTTTTTTTCCGAGTAACTCAGGATCGTGATATTAAATCTCTTATTCCTATAAAAATTAAAAATCATTGGGTATTTTATCAGAAACAAAGAGTAAAAATTGAGCGTATGCTTAAAACACCACTTGGTGTTTTAAAAGGAGGTAGTTTGGAAGTGAGGAGCAATGCTTTCTTTAATTCAAAATGTTAGCTCTTAGTAACAGCATTGGTAAAACTTAAGATTTTCAAGCTTGGCATTTTTTATTTATTCTGAAATTATACAAATACCTTGTGAAAAAGAAATGGGCGTAACAGAGATAACGTAGTTTTGAGAGAGATCTCCGTGATCATACAGGTCATTTCTTGCCATACACAAGAACAGATACTCTGCAAAATAATCAGTGATTGAAAGACATCTTTAAGCAAGATATTTGTGAATTCTACTTTTCATATTAGCTGAGAAGCCTCTTTTTGCACGAATGCACCGTACGCAGTAGGCATTTTCTGTGTGGAATGCTGTTACAGAAGGCACACAAAAGCAGGTGAAACAGAACATTGGGTGTAGAGTGAAACAGCCAAACAAATTATTCCTGAAAGAGTGGCAGCGCCCTTGTGTAAGGCCCTGAGTGCAACTGCATCTCTGCCTGTTCCTTTTCTGTGACACATCTTCTGAGGGGAACAAATCTGCAGCCCATCGTCCACCAGACTGGACAAGAGCACTGTGTTTTCTTGGCTTTTTTTGAATCATGCACTCAGCAACATGAGTATTTATTCTCTTTTTTTCTTGGCCAAGAAGGATCTGGATCTATGGAATAATCCAAGGAATTAGCTGCTCTTCTCAGCTGCGGTATTTCCCACTATGGAACAGTTGTGGTACCACTGGTCAGTAATAAGGTACAACTAGGAACAGGAATTTTTGGGTTGTTTTTTTTTTTTTTTTTTCAAAACGCTTTTTGAAGGAAAAAAATGGTTATGAATAAATAAGAATTTTCCCAACAAAATTTCTACTGTTATTGACATTTTGGAGCTTTACCATTTTAAGAGAAACTTCTAACAAAATTATTCTGTTAGGTTTTTTATGATCCTGATGATCTATAATATTAATCTCTCCATTCGTATATCAGCATGTCCCAGAAATCTCTATCTTCAGTTACAGATTTTTCTCCTTTCAGGACTCTGCTTTTAACAGTACTGTGTATCGGCATTTTTAAGATATATTAATGAAATTTATTATTTTCTAAATAAATTTTGTTCTTTTTGTAAATTTGATGCTATAGCAGTTACTAATTAAAGTAGAAATTGGGAAAAAATATTTCAAAAACTTTAAATGGGAAATAACAGAAGCGTGGCATCTGCAGAAGACTGTTCTTCACAAAATTTTCTTACAGCCCGAATGTTTATCCAGTATGGATTGTCTTTGTAAATACAAAATTAATGGCACTAAGGTTTGACTCATTGTTCAGTCAACTCAAGGGAATATTTTAGACATATATTTTTTTAAAAATTCTTTTCTCATAGCCAAAGAATTTGGGGAATCCTACTTGCAAAAATTCTCTCTTTATTCAGTAGCAGGTTCCTTGTTTGATAGGAAAGTAGTAGGTTCCTTGTTTGATAGGAAAGGCCGTTATATAAAATGTAATTTGATAGGGAAGAATTGAATATTTTTTTGAAAAGTAGACTATAAAGCTGTCTTTCCCCCCCCCCCCCCCCCCCCCAAGACACATGAAAGTTATTGTCACTTCTCTGTTTTCCCACTGGTGGGTTGTGGTGGTGCTGGAACCCCCAGTGCTATAGCTAAGAGGTTATGGCATGCAGGATTAATCACATCTAACTAGCAGTCTGATAGTTAGCCTCTAACCTCAACTGTTTGCCTGTCTCCCCAAAAGAGTCAACATGGAGAAATGGTTATCTCCCAAAGGCCATTTCAACGTGGTCTTGTGAGAGACGGGGTAATGGCTCTTCAGATGGAACTCTTTTTCCACTGCCTAGGTTAAAACAAAAACTGAGTCTAGTCTAATTTAGACAGCTAACTATTTTATGGCTAAATTTAGGTGGGTAGAATGAAGAGTATCATTGACAGGTAAAGTTGTTTCTAACTTTTGCTGTAAAAGTCTGCTTCTAACCCATGAAAGCAACAGGAGCTTCCCCCCCCAAAAAAGGGGGTTTTGGGGGTGAAATATGCTTTTTGCCTTACAAATCCTTCAGTGTATCTGTCTCCATGTTTGTCTTAAATATTTGTGGATTGCGTGTTCCCAAGTTTACAGTTCCTGTTTTGGCTGTTGGTTCTTGCAGAGACATGACAGAGGTAGTTCATATTAAAGACCGGAAAGAAGTAATCCATGAAATGAAATTCTCACCAGATGGCTCTTACCTCGCTGTGGGGTCTAATGATGGCCCAGTGGATATCTACGCGGTGGCTCAGCGATACAAAAAAATAGGAGAGTGCAACAAATCTTCTAGTTTTATAACTCATATTGACTGGTCTGTGGACAGTAAATTCTTGCAAACCAATGATGGTGCGGGAGAGAGACTGTTCTACAAGATGCCGTGTAAGTTTACAAGGGGCTCATGTTGTGAACAAGTAAAGGTCAGTGTTGGTTTGAAAGAATAATAAAAAAAAATATATAAATAGTATATCAGCAAGTGGAGTTTCTTGACTGGAACTTAGATAAGTATCTAACGTTTTTCCACTTTTGTATGTTTTTAGCATGTTTATGTGCAGCTCCATTAGAACTGGTAAGATGTGTGTTGTGGTCAAATACCACAAATGTGAGATTAGACTAATTTAAGGCAAAACTGTGAATCTTTATAATTCCTTGAGACTAAAAGACTAATCCCAAGAAGAATACACAGATAAATGTGATGAAAAGAAATGGAAGTTACTGAAGAACAAATGGTTGAACATTGGTGTATTTTCAGCTGGGAAGCATCTAACTAGCAAAGATGAGATCAAAGGAATTCACTGGGCCTCGTGGACCTGTGTGATAGGATCTGAAGTGAATGGAATTTGGCCAAAGTACACAAACATTACAGATGTCAACTCTGTGGATGGAAATTACAACAGCTCAGTGCTAGTGACTGGAGATGATTTTGGACTGGTTAAATTATTCAGATTTCCATGCCTAAAGAAAGGTAAGATAGTATTTTCTCTTTCTGAAGAATGCAGTATTTGGATATGGATACCATATCCTTATATTTTCTGATGGTGGCTTTGGATTCTTGTGCACACACTAATTTGAAATATACACAATTCATGTCAGTATTAATGGACATAAAGGTGAGACTTTAGCCCTCCCTATCCAGTGATTTCCAGCCAATATTTATGTACTTGTTTTGAGAACGTGTAGTTTAACTTGTGCTTATTATGATATTTCATTTTCCAAAACTAATTCAGCGAGACTTTACATCACATCAAAATTGTATCAACACCAGATGCACTACTATAATTTGTCCAAATTTATGCCAGTAACAATTTCAGAAACTTCAGCAGGGTTTCACTGTCTGTTTTATGCTGTTATTTTATGCCATTATATCTCTCTATTTTATGCCATTTATTTTTATTTAATAATTACTATTAGTATGAGAATATCAAGAGGCATGTAGGTGTTTTTATGTTTTCAGTTTTCATAAAACTGTGGTTTGAGCCCAGAGGGCAACTGATACCTTCATTGGCTGGCTACAATGTTACTTTTTTTTCTTCTAACTAAGAGTTCTATTTTTGGTTTTTAGGAGCTAAATTTAGAAAATACGTTGGCCATTCAGCACATGTAACCAACGTCCGTTGGTCCCATGATTTTCAGTGGGTTTTAAGTACAGGAGGGGCTGATCACTCTGTTTTTCAGTGGCGATTTATTCCAGAAGGGATAACAAACGGCATCCTTGAAACATCTCCACAAGGTAAAAATGAGCTCTTATTAGTTATTTATTAAATAAAACCAACAGAGAATGAAGCACTGTTGGAAAAGCTTTTGTTGAATTGGCACAGAATATTTCTATTAAAATTCCCTGGAATTACATATAGTCAGCATGTTTGGGACATTTTACTTTTCATGGAGAGCCATTTATTTCAGGCAGGGTATATTCTGCAGTCTGCTGTGTTGTATGTTTAGGAATACATGAGTAGTATTTGTCAAAGCCTATGAAAAAGTATATTTAGAGAGAGATTACTAGATCAAGCCAGATTTTCAAAATGAGCCATCTAACTTGCATTCAGAAGCCTGACTAGACAAGTTGTTTAATTTTCTTTCCAGTGTAAATTCACATATATCTGTGATAGCTATACTTTAGAATTGTTTTCTTTCTGTATCCATGATGTGTAAAAATTGGATTCCCTGCAGCAAAAGGGCAAAATTCACCCCGTCCCTGCACAATTTGGTAAAATACCTGTGTTACAGCAAATCTTTTTAGACACAGTGATCAGACTGAAAGTTTTTATTTACCGTTTCTGTATGTTTTCACTCGAAAGCCTGTTCAGAAAACAGTATTCTGTCAGGTGATGGAAACGTCCCAGGAACTACTCAGTTATTCTCCACCCGCCTGCCACCTTCCTGCCCCAGGCATTGAAACAGGAGAAACAGAAATGGAAGCTGACACATTCAGTCAGCCCATGTGATTTTCACAAATTCTTGAATACTGCTTTTTGCATAAGCTAAATTATATAAAACCATCATCTTTTATTTTCTTGTGATTAGATGTGTTCAATGTTGCTTGGGTTGTTTTATTTTTTATTTTTTTTTTATGCAGAGGGTGGCGTCGATTCCTACAGTGAAGAATCAGATTCAGATTTATCTGATGTGCCAGAGTTAGATTCTGACATTGAGCAAGAAGCTCAAATCAACTATGATCGCCAGGTGAATAAAAATTAACACATTTGCCAATCATCTGACTATTATGACGATTCAGTGAATAATAGTAAAAGAAGTTTGCAGCTAATTCATCAGACTGCTTTAAGATTATTTTGACAGCATTCAGCTGTTTATGCAAGCAATATACATAAAAACACAGTTTACTTTAGCTGGAGGTGACAATTTTAAAGGGTTTGGAGAAAAAACCATCAGTGTATATACCACTGTACGTTAGAATAAAGAATATATCTTAAAAAGCACAAAATTAAACAAGATTTTGTGAGACCATATTGAGACCATATTGCTCTTCCCATTCCCATGATAAATTTTAGAGAAGGCTTTTTGGTGCTATCAAATTTAGAATCCCAATTTGTAGAATATGGCTCATGGAGTTTTTGTCTGACTTTTGCACATTCAAATCAGAATACTCTCTTGATGAGTGTGAAGCCTGTGTAATACATTTATTTGTGACAGTGTCTTTTTTTTATTGCCAAGAACAACAATGCCTTAGAATTAAAATTGCCCTAGTTTATGGGAACCAAGCAAAAATGGTCTTTAATAATCACTTAATATGCTTATGGTTTTTTCTATTTTCGGTACATCTATGTTCTGAGATGAATGAAGATAGATTGCTTCCATGCAAGAAGAAAAGGACTCAGTGTTCTTTACTGCATGCTTGTTTGGTTTGGTTTTTTTTTTAAATTTTTTTTTTTAGGAATAGTAGTGATCTTTCAGTGCTGATTTATGCTTTGTCACTTGGGCACAGGGGGGCTGCACCCCTCTCTGTGCCTCGTCACCATGCTCAGCTCTTGGCTCCTCTTTCACAAAGCAGTTTTACCTTGCTGCTCCCTGATGTGAGATTTCACCTAACCTGCAGCATAACAATTTGCGCTCACACTACTGTATTAGAAAACATTATTCAAGTCACAAAGTCACATGAAATTTAGAAAATGCCACAATAAAATGTTGGTTTGCCCTTTTTAGGTGCATGGATTATAATTACACTTTTCTGCAGGAGTTCTACTTCATTTGGTGTGGGGGATATTTAGTTCTCACCTAACAAGAAACTATTAGCTCTTTTTTCATTCATTCTTCTTCTGTGAAGGAAGCATTATTTTCCTTGTGGTTCTTTCCATTCCGTTCATGATACTGAGTGCTTTACAAACACTGATCTTTGTAACAGTTTGTCATGTGGGGGGGTGCTCTTATCCTTGCTTTGAAGGAAAGGAAACAATAACATCAAATTTTGCTATCTGTTGTCTGACTTTCACTTCTGTTTAAAAATAGCTGAGACCTGATTTTCAGGAGCTGTTGTCATTGTGAATAGAATATTACTTGTCACCTTGTCCCATCACCTTATCAGTTGCAGCAGTGAAAGGTCAGAACTTCCTCAGAGCAGAAATGGGAACTTGTACTAAGCATACCTAAGCTTGGTTCAAGTTGGTTTGAGTGATTCAATGGCTGATACAGAGCTGCTTTCTACGGTGTGGAAGGACCATCTTTTGTCTTGTCACCTCACTTTCTAGATTCTGCAATAAATTACACAGGTCCTTCTGACAGCAGCTTATTTTACCTCTGTATTACAGAGATTGATTGCGTTTGCCAAATGACACAGAAGGTTTCTCAAATTTTCTCCCTCCCCTCTCTTCTACTCCAAGTCTCACTGGAGTGCTTGTCCTCTCCTCCTCCTCCTCCTCCTCTCCTTCTCCTGAGTTTCCATCTGTATTCAAATTAGACAGTATCCTCCTCCACTCTGTCTGTGTGTCAAAAAGGATGCCTGGGTTTAAAAACTAAAAGTGAAAAAATAGTTGTAGGCAGTAAAACAGCAATGTTCCAGGCAGGTTAATGCATGAAGAAACTAGAAGCAACTTGAAATAGAATCTTATATGGGAAGTGTGAGACAACCCCAATCATAAGATGCACTTCACATTTTGTTAAAGGAAATAATTTTCAAAGGAACACGGAAACAAAAATATTAATCTTGAGAATTGGGTTTGGTGGGGTTTTTTTTAATGTTACGGAAGAACAGTATAGAGGATTCTAGATTTTGAGATGCATTAGAAAATAATGCTCCTGTGTTCTGTTTCATTGGGAGCCTTCACTGAGGAGCAACAGTCAATAAATGGATGAGAACACTCAGGATAAAGTACAATACATACGAGTGACAGGCTTTGAAGACACTTCCGACTTCTTTAGCAGTTCTGTGGAGTTTCAGCATTTCTCAAAGATTTAAATGTATAGTATTTTGTGTATTTATAGAGCTGTAATTCTACTTCAGGATTCAAGACACATTGGCAAATCACTTAAGTGCTGTTGGTTATTGTATATTTCACCACAATCCTAGATTAGAATTAATTCATTATGTTCAGCTTTGAGTATGTACACGAAGCATATATGAAGTTAAAAGATACTTGAAGATTTCCAGTCAGCATTGAAATTCCTTTTCACCAAGTGACACTAGAATCTTCTAGAAAAAATACACTCTGGTGCTGCTACTCCAGACTCATGTTCTGGGCTACTCGCACAGGAGAAGACTTGCTTGTCTGGAAAACTTTTATTATATGAAGTTCTGTAGGAAGCAACAGCGACTCACACTGTTATAACTACCAAACATCACATGAACATGTATTAAACGTAATACTTAAAGTCACTTTCTTTCATATATACAGATATTTAGAAAACTGGAGACTTGCAGTTAACTTTAACAATTTTCTTCAGGTTTACAAAGAAGACCTACCTCAGCTGAAACAGCAAAGTAAAGAGAAAAACTATTCTGTGCCCTTCCTTAAAAGAGAGCGAGCGCCTGAGGACAGTTTAAAGTTGCAGTTTATACATGGGTAGAGTAATATTCGATCATGCTTGTTTTTTCTGATTGTTGAAACATCCTAGCAATGTTAATCAGTTCACATCAGTGTTTAGCAAGGCATTTTTCAATGCTTATCCACTGCCACAATTAATTTTTTTCTCATTATTACTGTGGGTAATTATTGGAATATCAGATTTTCTTTTTTCAGCTGTATTTGTTAAGGAACAAGAGAGGTTGTAGTACTGTAGCCATATAATAAATAATAAATCAGCATTGCATTTTATAAAATTACATTTTAAACTAGCTGCTGACTACACATTATGGTTTTGGGAGCAAAGATTTTCTGTAAGTTAATCGTGTTAGCTGTGATTTGCAAAATGCCTGATGGATTCCTGCTTGAATCCAATTCCCTGTAAAACTTACTTGGATGCAATTCTATGTGGATTATATATTCTTTTTGTGAAAACAGCACTAATTTAGGAGTTAGGCGCAAAGTTAAACCTTGAGAGGATTCACGAATGCCTGTTCCTGGTGGGAATAGTCTCTCTCTGCCTGTGTGCTGTGATATTCTTGAGCTAGCGTTGGTGCTGCAGCTGTACTCTTTTCAAGTTAATGCACAAATTAGTTGCACAGTTTGTTACAGAAATTACCAGAATAGTTTTGAAACAGAATGTAACTTGTTTTGTATTTATTTCAGTTATAGAGGGTATGACTGTCGAAATAACTTGTTCTACACACAAGCTGGAGAAGTGGTCTATCATATTGCTGCTGTAGCTGTCGTGTATAACAGGCAGCAGCACACTCAGAGGCTGTATCTTGGCCATGATGATGACATCCTCAGCCTAAGCATTCACCCAGTGAAAGACTATGTTGCTACTGGACAGGTTGGTATTTAGAAGTGATGGTCTTGGTAAAACATGAAAATTAATTCTCTTCGTAGTATATAATTAGAAAAAAAAATGTGGTTCTCTGCCCTTCAGTAGAGTGTTTTCCCCTAATATGTGTGAGTGTATTTCCTATATCCCTGCCAGACTGCTGGGGAGTGCTGGACTGGAAACCATTTGAGGTGATTATTAAATCATTTCTGTGCAACAGAAAAATGGCCAGTCTTACCCTGTGGCCTTGCAAAACATCTTACATTCACTTTGAACCTCTGCTTTCACCAGTGAAATGCTGTATTTTATCTACATCCTAGGGAGGGGTTGGTATTTCATTAGTCAGCCTCAGTGTTTCTGTACTGTAGTAGCCTTGAAAAGCCTTACTCAGATAAAGCCTATTTGGTGTTGGGCACTCTACTGATACCTGGTACTGAATATGATCTATTCATTGTATTCATGGATCATGGTAAAGTGCATAATCAATATTATACTGAATACGGGTGCTTTAGAGAATACGTGATGATATTTCTCTATAAGAGAAAATATTTCTCTATAAGAGAAAAAGATAAGATAGGGCAAGTGGAAAAGTAGTTACCTCTGGAGGGTTGTGAAGATGTGATAGTGCTAATCAGTGATATTGGTGTGCTGTGAGCTGCTGTGAGCAGATGTTCCAATGAACCCTCTGGTTTAGGTTGGAAGAGATGCTGCTATCCACGTTTGGGACACACAGACACTGAAATGTTTGTCATTGCTCAAAGGCCAGCACCAAAGAGGAGTGTGTGCACTGGATTTTTCAGGTACGCCACAACCTACATTTATCTAAACAATTAGTTAAAAAGCAATCCTTATGTGGAAAACTTGATTCGAATAGGTAGCCAGTTTTACAACCAATACAAGTTTTACATGAAAGTGTGCTGCCGGTTTTGATAAAAATAATGTGTGTTGTTAAGTCAGTAATCGGCCTTTGCTCAGTTGATCGATAATTGGGTTTTTTGATGCCTGATACACAATAGCGAGTGGTGCAGCTAGGACTCTGGTGGCTGCCTACATGGTGGTATAACACTTTAATTGTATTAATGGTGACTTGAAGTTTCAGGTTGCCATTAATGGCAGAATGGTGACCTGAAGTACATAAAGAAGACGGAAATGTGATCTGTAGGCTTATACAATTCTTCACATTTGCTAACAACGCCCACATTTTTTAGTGAGTTTAGAGAAGAAGTAAATATGATGAACAGTTGTCTGCTTATTTCTCCTACTTGTCTTTCTGAGATGTGTGACCTAAATTGTCTCAGTTACCAAAGGGTAATTCCTGCATTCAGCACTGAACAATGTAATCCTTACAGTGTTGACTTAGGTGCTTTTGTGTCTTTATTAAGTGCTTACAGATCTGTTTTTCCTTTTTCTATGTAAAATAAAAGAAAAATTACTCTAGCTGAACTGTCCTTAACTCTGATTTTTTTTTTCAGACATTATTTCTTTCATATTCTCCTCTCTAGAAATGTGGTAAGAATTCACTGGGACATAGAACACATTTATGAGTCAGGGCTACACCAAAGAAGCTTTACTTCCACAAAGATAAGTCTGTGGAACTGGTTCATATTCCATTATCAGAAGAGGAGCCTTGGTGTTCATCCAAGAGCTGGAATTTGAATTACTGATCCACTGTGGTGTGTAACTTAGCTCTGAAAGTAGATATGGTACTAGAAGAGAAAATGGTTAAAGAGGATCTAATTGACCTAGTGTGCATAGAAGTTAAGAAAATTTTATTAAGATCCCTAGTTGAACAAATGTTGATATACTTAGAGATTACCTTGCAGTTTACATTTTATCAAAAACTAGGTTGCTGTATAGATAGTAGTGCTCCATGTATTACAGTCCAGGTACCTTGATAAAAGCACAAAGAATAAGCTTGGTGCATTTTCTGCAGACATAAATATATACAAAAGTATTAAAGCTCTTCTATCAAGCAGCAACCACTGGCATCATTACAGCATTGCATTAGGACCTGCTCCTGAGAATGTCCCTAGTGCCTTCCTGAGGGGCTTTGTCAGAATTCTTGGCAAGAGAGGAGCAGGCAGTTGTGCAAGGACACGCTTCACCACAGGATCAGTGCTGCTGCGTTGGCTCTACTCTATAGGGAGTTTTCATTGTGTTCATAATAGACCTTTCTAAATTAGGTTCAAATCACACTACTTGAAGCTTAAAGAAACAAGCCCCAAAGTCCAAAGGTACCTTTTTTTTGGCTGTCCTTGATCTGGCGGCTGCCTCTATACCGCCCGTTCTCTCTGCCCGTACCTGCTTTCTGAAGCACCTGCTGTTGACCAGCGCCGAGAACGGGCTGGATCATGGTTGTAAGACCTTTCTCACCACATGGTGATTCAAAGTTTATAATGGCATTCGTGCAGTGCTTGGCTGTGACCTCTGGTGGCTAACTTAACATCTATAATTTTGGGTATCAATCAGAGTACATAGCCCATGTTAATGCATAAAACTTCCTGTTTCAGGTAAATAAAGTTTAGATTGTATTCTTACCAATAAAAGTTTGTCAACCACAATCCACTTACAGAATTGAGTTACCACTAAAAATAATTACTGTGTTCAAAATACACAAATATACCTCTTTCTTAAATAAAAAGTATTACATAATGCATATTTACCTTTTGTATCAGCTATCTCACTAAAACTATTATAGAATGGTTCTTACTATCTCCTTTCCTTTCCCATTAACCTCATATGTCTCCCTCTTTTTTTTTTTTTTTAATAGACTCAATTTGAGTTTCTTGTCCAATTTTTCAACTTTGTTCCTTCCTGCCTACTCACACACCTTTCATCTAGGCCTGTTTCATACAAATCTGAACTCTTTTCCTCTTTCTGGAATTTCCCTTCTCCTTCTTGACTTGCTTCTCATAGAACTTGGTCACTAAATACCCTAAGTCCAGTCTAGCTGTGAGGAGCTATTCAGCCTCATGAACTCTGAAGTAGTTCTAATGGAGTAATTTATACCAGTAGTACTTGTTTCAATTCTGGAAGTCAAATATGCTTAAAAATAGAGTCCTTAACATCTGTTAACTTCTACAAGAAGTAACCGTCTCAAATCGTTCCTTTTATTCAGTCTTTTGGCCGTCTCACCAGTTCTCTACTTCCTCCGCTTTTAACGTTTCTTCAGGTTTAAAAAAAAAAAAAAAAAAAAAAAAAAAAATGTTATGACCTATAAAGTTCAGTTCTCTTACATACTTCAGCAATTATGGTTTAGTTTTTTTAAAATGTTCAATGTTTCGTGGCAGTTTGCCTCTAAAAGTTTGTTAACAATGCTCTTGTTTGTCATTATTTCATACAAGTAGCAAGGATGCCTAGGTACTGTTGAATTATGTATGATATGCTGTTCTTGCTTTTCTACCTCTCATTATCACTGCTGCTGTGTCTTTCCTGCAGTAGATGACAGCCAGCAGTTAATTTTAGCCCTACCATTTTCTATGATATTTATACTTTCATTACATTGCCTATTAATTTTTAACCACCCATTTCATTATACACTGATAATTCTTGTCAGCATTTCAAGCATAAGAAGAGAAGCATCATCTGATCAGAAGTATCTCAAATAAAATGTAATGTGATTTTGGAGTGCTTGGACTTTATGAAATTGATTTTCGTTGTCTTGTTTGATCCTACCTACCTTCCTTATGCTTAGACACAGGAATGTATTGTGTCTGCTTTTGGGAAAGATTAGTGGTTTGATAAGGCATACAAATAGAAAAAAAGTAGAATAGACCAGACTTACAAACATAATAGAAGATAATGAAGTCAAAAGAATGCCTCTTTGGTAAAAGAATAGCCCCTCTTGTAATCATCCAATTAAAAATGAGGCAGAAAACTCTCGTTGTGACCTGTTCTGTCTGATAAAGGTGAGGCCATATTTCAAGTTAATTAAGAAGAGGAAGGCTATGCCATGGATTAGGAGAGTGCTCTGTGAAATCTGTAGATTCCAGTCTGGTGGGCCATCACCCAGCAGGTATTCCTTTTAGTGCTCAATACGGCAGTGTGCATCCTCCTTGTGGATAAAACTTGAGCAGGTGTCAACTTTGGTCCCCTGAAAAGGTTAGGCAGGCTGACTGTCATTCTCAGTTCATTTGTCTAATTCTGCAGGCAGTCTGCTTCAGGAACTGAAGACATTTAGTGAATCTGAACTCTAATCTCCCAAAGTATTAGTTCCTTTTTTTGCTTCATTTATAATAGATCATTCAAATTTCAGGTTACAGTGTATTTGTTGTGATTGTTGCCTGTTATATTTTCAGCCAAAGCATCAGCATCTTTAACAGTAACTGTTGCTTTTGTACAGCTGATGGAAAGTGTTTGGCATCTGTCGGGCTAGATGATAATCATGCCATTGTGTTTTGGGATTGGAAAAAAGGCGAAAAGCTAGCGACAACCAGGTAAGAATACATCTCTAAAAATGTGCCCTGCGATTACATTTTTCTGAGTAGTAACATCCACAGGTGTTTCAGAGCAATTATATTCAGATTAAAACCCTTGGGATCTAGAGTTTATTCTTTCAGGAGTTCCATAGCCTTTCTGTTAGGACAGCTCCATTGATATTCTAGCTCATGCAGTGGCTTTCAAGTTAAATTAGTATTTTCTCCCAGTTTTATTTCCTGAGTCATGGTAGAAGCCATCCAAGATGTCATATTTTCCTTTATGCATTAGATATGCCAGATTTCATCAGCGTACATATGCAGATCATTTTTTGAAATAGAAAAAAGTGTTCCCTCTAATATAAATAGATTTTTCAAGGTCTACTGATTCCTGCCTTCCTTCTGAATCAGCTTTTCCTGAGATATTTGCTCTTGCAATTACAAACAGAAATCTTAGCTAATAACCCTGTAGTGAAGACGCTTTCTTTACACTCAACTAGTTGTACATGTTAGAAGAATCAAACTGTTTGAGCACCCGGTTTCTGTCCAGCGAAGCAAATGTACCTCTGAGGTCAAGGTACTCGAATTGTTTAGAATTGATGCAAGCGTGCACTTGCATACCAAAAGGCAGGGAGTTCAGTTCATATGCTGAATGCAATCATGTAAGATCTGAAACTGGTTGGTAGAAATTATTAGTAACTGCAAAAAAGGGCCCATGAAATATAATTTACCTCAAGTATGGCACTGTTGCCACTATTATATGCTGACATGTTCCAGAAGAAAGAATAAGATTTTCTCCTGGCAGCACCATCTGTTAGCAGTATACCATCCCTGAATAAGGAAATGTTTTGATCCAGGTGTGTGTGTACCATAATCTATATCAGCTGTATAACTTTGTCTCGGGCATCCAGTTTCGTAGGCAGCAAGATTTTAAATTCTATTTAAAATTTGAGATGTAGGACTTGAAGCACCCGTGTGTCTGTGTTGTAGAACGTGACATTTTCACTGGCTTTCCAATCCTAGCTTTACTGTCTCCAGACAGTTTCTGCTTCAGACTCACGAGTGAAGAAATGACTTTATATATTCCCACAGAGACCTACTCAGCTTTTAAAAACAAGATAAGGATGGGCTCTATGGCTGCCTGTCTCTTCTTGCTCATAGTGAGAGATACAAGATTAAGTGTTTGGGTTCTTTTCACTGTATAATACTATATGGATCTATTGTTATTGCTAATCTCTAATTTTGAAAATACGGAGGGTCCTCACAGCATTATAGTTTACCTTCTGAAAAGTTCTAATTTAAATTACTGTTTATATTTTAGCAGTGCCTAAAGGCAATTTCCCCATTCTGGTAAGCACAATAGGACATACAAAGAGAGACAAAAAACGAGACAGGAGAATTTATATCCAAATTTTGGATACGACCCTCACGTGGCCTTAGCAGACAAGAAGAATAGAAGGACACCTCCTTACAACCATATAACCCACAAGAAGAATTCATCTAAAGGAATGAACCTGGGAAATGAAGTGTACATTCACTGTGTACAACCATTCATTATGTTCATTTTGTAGTTATTTTGTATTTCTTTTTTGTGAATGTTCTTTTTGCTTAATATTCTTGGGATGATTAATTCAGCATGACTTCTCAGTTTTCTTGTCTCAGTGCTGAGAACATACTCCTATTTGTTTGTTTGAATTGCTCATTAGATAAATTTTACAGCCTGTTTCTCTGTCTTGGCTCTGCAGCCTTCTGCCAGGTTTCATTCCAGCGCACGCTGTCAGGATCAGAATGCATCTGAGCTCCTTTCATCAGCTTCTCAAGCCTTACACTCTGATGCAGTGCCACTCCTGTTTGATCCCAGCATTCTGTATTAGTGGGCTGCAATCCCTAAGGGAGCTGAGGGGGGCATTGTCAAATTTATTTACAATCTAAATCAGTGAACTTCATGCTCTTTTTTTTTTTTAATTCTATAAGAGCAAACGCCAGTAGTCCCAGGGACACAAAAACTGCACAGGCTTCTGTACATGGTTTGCTCTGACCGTTGCAGGAGATTGGGGTGGAAACATCGGCAGCCCAGATCTCATGTGTGGGTACTACTGCTCCTGTCACACAGGCAGACAAGGAGACTCCTGCACTGGGACACAACTAGTTTGACTTTGGCCTCAGGGCAGTACTTTTTGCCTGTGTGATAGACGCTTCCAGAAGCAGCAGTATAATGGGCCTGAGCTGAAAGGCTGGGCATGGTTAGAGCAGAGGAACAGGAGGAGGAGGGATTGCAAGAAGGTGCACTTCAAATATCCAAGGTGTAAAGGACCGCAAGCAAATACTGAAACCAAGTCACATCCGAACCGTGTGACTTTCCAGATCTACTAAACTTGTGAGATGAAAGTGACGTTATAGCACACCACCTGAAAATTCATAGTGCAAAGCTACTGGGTTTTGCTTTTGGTGTTTTATAAAACACTGAAATAGAAATAATTACTACTTTACATCTGGGAATGTTTTTTGCAATGGTAAAACTTAAATTACAAATTCCCATAAAGACATACTCCACCGAGAATAACTTCAGTTACCTGAGAACTAAATTTGAGCAGTATGTATGCTGTTAAATGAACTGTTTCCTAAATTATAATGTTGTAATTTGTTAATTTATTTATCCTGTTGAAGCACAGTAGGTTAAAGACTTCCTCATTTTTCTTGAACAGAGAATTTTAAATATTTATTGAGTTCTTACCCATATAAATATTTATGTTGCCCTTTTTGCCTTCTCTTAATTGCGCTGACCTTTGCTGCCTGCTTCTTCATTATGACTTCATTGAACTGAAATTCAGTGGGAGGCAATTTTTATTCACCACATTTCTGTTGTCTAATTCTTATATGGTGTGTGCTCAAATAGATAGTGCCAACCCTGTGGGTCAGACTTCCAAGGCTGAACTCTTGCAGATTAGGGATATGGTGCTCTACTTTTTGTTAGGGAGGGTAACGATGGTAGAGATAATGTAGACATAACCTCTGCGACTGCTCTGCCAACCCTCATAGTGTTATAGAACCATACTGTTGGATTTCACCAAGAGTAGGACAGTCATGGTGATTAGATTGTCGTTGTTGAAGACTATGTTTGATTAGTCCAATACGATGAAATGTCATTAAGTTTGAAATTTTAAGTCATCCCTTTCCGTCTTTTTTAATTTTAATTTTTATTGCAGGGGACATAAAGATAAAATATTCGTAGTGAAGTGTAATCCACATCATGTAGACAAACTAGTCACAGTTGGGATGAAGCACATCAAATTTTGGCAGCAAACCGGTACTGTATTGAATACTCATATTTGATTTATTTGAGAATGTGTTTAACATGGGAACATCATGTTCTTTATTTAAGAATTTGTTTTATTTGTAAATCAATTTTTGAAAGGGGTGAAAACCTACCTCTGAATCAGCAAATGTCACAATATTCCTTTCTCTTTGGAATTAATTTCCTTACCTCAAGTCATACTATTAAGGATTTCTCCTGAGAAGGCATCCTTGGCTCTCAGAAAACAGACAGTCCTGTAATTCACTTAGGCAGATGATGACCCTTCCTGGGAAGCTGCCAGCTGGTAGCGAAGAACCTTAGGTGCCTCTGGCACACTGCTAAAAACAGTCATGTTTGCACTTCAGCTACTGATGTAACACTTGAGCAGCCCTTCAGTTTGAAGACAGAGCAGTTTGTCAGTCATCAGAGATGACTTCCAGAGATGGAAGCACATGTTTCGAGGTGTCAGGCTGGAAAGAGAGCTTTGAGGATGGAGCTTAAAATACATGCCTGGGCAAAGCAAAAAATAAAGAAAGAAACAGATGCTGGGTAGAAGTTCAGTTATAGTCATTTTTATTTTATCCCTTAGGCTAAAAATCATCATATGGTATCACAAGAATCAAGATATCAAGGTAATACATTTTTCATTTGACATAGGAGTTTTATTTCCTTTTATAAATAATGAAAAATGAAAAAGTGTTCTCCAATATTTCAAAATGGGGTAAGACAGAACAGTCAGTCTAGACTGTTCTGTCAAGCTGAGAAAGACAGCGTAGTTGGTTTCTGATTGAGGATATTTTTTCTTCAGGAATGGAATTTTTGTTCTTCATTAATTTTAATTGTATACACGCTGCACGAGTACTTGGTAAAATGATTTCAGACAGCATCTTCTGTGTGTAAACTTCACCAGAGGTAGGCAGCGTAAGGGTAGCTAAAACTAGAACTCAAGACAATTCAAAATTAGGTACTTCTAAGAAGTTCCTATACTTCTACCATACTTTACAGTGCTCAAGTGGTTCAGGTGCTCTCAGGTTAAAAAAAATATTTTTTTCCCTGCGTTTTTTATATTGATGTTATTTTTGTAGTAATCAATTACATTTGCATTGCAGCTTGCCAAATTCTATTACAGGAATTTGCATTAAGCAATATGTTCCTCCAAGATAGGTCTCTTTGCAATAAAAATGGTATATTTTGAATTAAGAATTGCTCTGTGGAATTGGGACTCTTAGTCTGGTATTAACTGTGAAATATGTGATGACCTGAAGCCAGGGCACCACTGTAATTGTGTGTGTGTTTCTGTCCATAAGCACTCAATTCGTGGGTGCATATGGCTACATTTTCCTGTCTGGATCAAAGTAAGGCAATTTGGTTCTCTGACAGAGGAGCAAATCCTGCCGTTTATTCTGCAAAACTGCTGTCAAATTGTCAGGTTGCCAGAGGACAACTCATGCAAACCTCCAGTATCTCATGTGTAGTTGTGGTCGCCTGTGAAGAGAGAAAGCTTAGCAGGAGCTTGGCAGGCTGTTCTGTGCAAAAAATATTCTGCCAGCCATTGTATTAATTCTTCATACCCAATTCATCACCAAAATTTACCGTTTGCTTGGAAATAACAGTCTGAAAAATAGAGCCTGTACCACTTCAGAACTGTCATTACTAGATTGTTTTTCCCTCATGCAGTGTGTTTTCAGTATTTCTGTTACCTGCTATGTCTTGGGCAACGACAAGAGATGGCAGGGTCGAGACATTTCCCTTTACAGCGCTGTGGCGACAAACCGAATTACAGGGCAACTTCATCTCGTTCATATTGCAGGTGGGGGCTTTACGTCAAAGCGAGGAACATTTGGAACTACTGGAAAATTGGAAACGATGATGAGTGTTTCGTATGGGCGCATAGAAGATCTCGTTTTCTCTGGTGCTGCTACTGGTGACATTTATATCTGGAAGGATACTCTGTTGCTGAAGACAGTGAAAGCCCATGACGGCCCTGTGTTTGCCATGCATGCACTGGATAAGGTATTTATCCTCCCACCTGACCCTTTCATCTGTTGTTTTTGTTGCAGGACTGGATTTTAGACACGTATAACTAACACGCCTTGCAGTGAAGTTCCTCAGGCTTGGTGCATGTGTATCTGAGCAATACCTTGCTCTGCACTGCACTACCGTTGAAGGTGCTTCAATAAATCAAACCGTAACAGAAAACACGTCATGCTGGATGAGTGTCAGTGCAATTAAAATCATGAAACCAACATTAATGGGTTCTGCTATTTAATAGGTGTTGTATTTGTAAGCACCACATTATATGTGCTCCTTACTGTACCAGTAACTTTCTGACCTCTAAATATGCAGGATTTATTTCTCGCTCTGCTCATGCGTGTCATTTCCATGTTTGCAAATCACAGGAGGGTGACAGGTAACATTCATTGCCTCTTCAACCTGATCCAAAAATACTTTGGCACTATCGGTTTCCAAAACATGAGCCATGAAAGTCTTATTAATATTATCACTTTATCTTAAGCAAGCAAGATTTCAGACATGCAAAGGTTTTGTAATTATTCCAGATACCAAAAGTATTTTCCTTCAGTTACATCAAGAAAATTGCAAAAGAAAATAGGGCAAAATATATTATTGACATCACATAAATGAGGTTGGGGCAAAGTTTTGCCATTTGAAATCCACTGACACTTTGAAGATGTTGGTAATGGAATATCCTTTTTGAGATTATCGTTTCAACGTTTTAGTTTGAGAAGAAGGATATTGCCTGTTATCAGTTTTATATATCAAGGTCAGTTAAGATCCCTGTGGCTCGGTCCCTTCTGGCCCGAATTGATTGTTTATAGCTTTTCCATCAGTTTTTCTGTTTGATCTTGGTGTTCTTATCTTCTAAACATCCTCTTCACTGACATTTTTTTTGTTAGTTGTTTATGCTGTTTTGCACTGACTTGACACAGATGAAGAGAATCTACCAAGGGAATTAAGCAGAGAGTTGGTCCCTGTGCATTATTAGAACTCGGTCTGAAGCATCTGTCAGGTCCACTGAGTTTGGAATCCCTTGAAAAGCTGTTGTTAGCAACTGCTGCCTCTTCTAAGGATGAAGCACATCTTTTTCCATAGTTTATTTCCACATGCAGAAAAAATGTTATGGTCCAGCATTAGTATGTACAACAGTAGGTACTCTGCATGGTTATAGGTCTTCGTAACCTCAGAAAAGCAATTCTCTAAATCTTCTCCCCTTACATTTTCCCTTCACAGGTATAGGCTCCCATATTTTTAATCGAACACAAGAATAAAATGCAGGGGAGGATTTATACTGCCTTTGAATATGTCTTTTTTAAACAGTAACATCTAAGTGGTGACATTGTGTATATTTCCATCCTGTGATCCTACAGGGATTTGTGACTGGTGGAAAAGATGGAATCGTGGCCCTTTGGGATGATATGTTTGAAAGATGTCTGAAGACGTACGCTATTAAAAGAGCAGCACTATCTGCCAGTTCTAAAGGTGTGCTTTAGTAAGGACTTTATGCATGAAGGCTGGTAAAATGGCACTAATAGCTGTCAAATCTTACCAGAACGCCAGGGGAACAGTCATATACTACTTACTGCTCCAGGCTGGGATTCTCTGTTTTGATTGATACAAGTTGTATTTCACACACTCCTTGCCATTTATAGTTTGCTCTGCTATTTCCTCCTCTATTCCCTGACATTTGCCTTTGTTTTCACTGAAGAAATGGTTTTCAAAGGAAATGTCACAAGCATGTGCTGTGACCTGGGTGTTCCATGATGTGTTTAGCAGCTAGCTTCCTCAGTTGGCCTCATTTCGTCTAGTGGGAAGACCTGTTAAATTCTACTTCCCCAGGCATCAGTGTGGAAGTCTGTGAAGTGATGTTCACAGATAATCACAGAATTAACATCCACGTTGCTGGAGCATCTGAACCCCCTATATTCTGTCTCTGTTAAAGCAGTAAAATATCGGTGTTTAGATTTCCACAATATGTTCTAGCACAAGCTCCCCTCCTTTGAACTATTAATTAAAATCCAGGGATTATCTAGTAGCTTGATCAGGCAAGTGTGTCTCACTTTTTAAACAGATCTTAATTACAGATGATATATAAATTGTATGAACTATAGGTGATAATGAGGCTCTTTTTGATTTCACAATAAAAACCTAGGATTAATATCTTTGTATTCTTTAGGTTTACTTTTAGAAGACAATCCCTCTATTCGAGCCATCAGTCTAGGACATGGGCATATACTAGTAGGAACTAAAAATGGGGAGATACTGGAAATTGATAAAAGCGGTCCCATGACTCTACTTGTTCAGGTATTGTATGGATCTTCCATATCAAAATATTCCCTGTAGAAACACAGGACATGATAAGGCTTTCCCAGACATTTTCTTTCTGTTTTCATTAATCCTCTTGGCCGCTGTTGCTTTCCTTGCCCAGGTGGAAGTTGATGCTTTCTTATGTAAATGTCTGTGAGATTCACTGAAGGTAAAACAAACAGTCTGTTAAGTTCAACGGCTGATGAGACTCTTTATGCATTTTTTAGACAGTTTAGGACCCAACATAAAAATGAAAAATGACACAATTTATTTGACACTGTGGTTCCTTTTATTTGCTTTTACTGAAATACTATAGCATATTATGAAGGATCCCACACTTTAATTTGTGAAAAATTGTTTTAGAGTTATAACAGCTTTCTGCAGTGGCATACTGTTGTCATTGCACATGTTGCAAAGCATACAGGGACCTCTTTTTGTGAGACAAAGTGTTTTGCAAAGTTTGGTTTCAAAGTTTTTATAAATATGTCCACTGAGGTATTTGATGTTGCTTAGGTTTAGTGTCTTGACCAACCCTAAAGTCTATACGTAGAAAATTGTATATATCATTTATGAGTTATAATTTGTCAAGGTTTTAGTTTTCGTTTTCCTTAAATGACTAAATTAATACTTTGTTTTACAAAAACATTATTTCTGTGGTATTTTTGTTTGCAATTATTTCTGCCTGCATAAAGTAGTCTTTCCATTTTGTATTTCCTACACGGCAGCCTTACTAACCAAAATGTGTCAAGTTGTATTTCATAAATTATTGAACTCATTAACTAGTTTGGACTTGCAAGCTTATCCTTCTGTAGTTCTCTTCACATGAATAGTAAGGTTGCGAGATAGTAAAATTACCTTAAAGCTATCTTATTGCTGTGAGCTTTTTGATGAAGAGAATGGTTATAGTTGCCATCCAGCTTAAATTACATGCTTGCATGCATCGATGTGAGCCAAAATAGAAGAAGCATCAGCTGTAAACAAGATGTCATGACAGTTCCTCCCCTTTTCCTTTTAATTGTGTTTCTTCATCTCAGCAAAAATGCCAGTTACCAAACTGAAATCCAGATTGAGGATAGTAAGGAGTGATTTAACCTTGAAATGCAGTGCTAGTAAACTACAGGTTGGAGGAAATCTAGGAAAAACGGGGAGAGTGATTTGAAAAGATTGAAAACTGATTTCTGAGGAAAGATTAAACTAACTGTGTATGTTGGGCAAACAAGTTCTCTAGTATCTAAAAAATCAAAAACCCATGAAGACAGATTAGCCCATATTAACATTTTGGGCATTACTATTTCCTGCTTAAGTCTGGAAGAGAGAGGAGTGGAAGAACAGGAATTACAGGTAGCAGTAGTGCAAGAGACTAGGGAAGGCTGCATGGTTATCCGAGGAAACAGAGCAACATTTGGGTCTCTCTGAATACTGGAAATTTTTGAGAGGAGATGCTGAAAGCCTTGTTGCCCGAGACTTGTGAAAGGAGACCCGGCAAGTGCTAAAACATTATTACATAAAACCAAATGCATTATTTTCTCTTATATTAAATTATTTCCTTTAGGGGCATATGGAAGGAGAAGTCTGGGGCTTGGCAGCTCATCCTCTCCTGCCTGTCTGTGCAACAGTGAGTGATGATAAAACACTTCGAATCTGGGAACTTTCATCCCAGCACCGCATGCTGGCAGTGAGGAAGCTGAAAAAAGGTGATTCTGAATTGGCCATGCACTGGGATAGTGATGACACTATTCTGTTTCTGTAACAGTTCCATCTTGGCTTTTGGTGCACATCACAGGCATTAATTAGGTAGGAAGAAGACACAGTCATTAAGAAACTGGAAGCATATGAAGCAGATTTTCTTTGGCGTGTGTCAGGTCAATGAAAAGGGTAGAAAGAAAAAGGATTATAATTCTTTGTAATGAATAATAATAAAATGAACTTTAATCTCTTCCCTCTGATTCCAAGAGGAACGAGTTGGCCTCAGAATCATTTTCCTTCCTAAGAATACTTAAGGCCAGCATATTTGTTGCTGACGTAAAGAAGTTTTCTTATAAAGACAAATCTAAAATTATCTGCATGTTAAGTACAATCAGTTTTCGGTGGCCATATGAACTTCACATGTTATACCAACTGCTCTGAAAACTAACAGTTTCCCTGCCCTCTCCTCTGTATAAAATTCAATGGGCTGTGTTGAAATGCTGAGTTCTTGAAATGATTCTTGTCTTGCTTATTTACTGATATCCTTCAGGAAATTTTATGGTGTGAATTCAACTTGCTTCATTTTCAGTGACAGGTCCAGAGCATGGCTGAGGGAAAACAGTCAAAATGTTTTGGAGAGGTGAACTCAGGGACGGATGAGGATAGCTGTATGACAGATTATGGTCAGAAATAATGTTGAGGCAAAAAGTAAGTGGAGGAAGTGTAGAACATCTGTTTTGAATGTGCCCCACCTGAAAACAAACATTATTCAGTCATATAATGAAGAATCTTTCAAGTGTAGTATTCCTGACAGACATGCAGTTACGCTGCCCATAATGAGTCTTTGATTTTTTTCCATCTGGGAATCCTTTCTGTATGTTTTTGTTGGTTTTTAAAATTTTCTTTCTTTCATTGGTGTGTTTAGAATGTGGTTGGAAGGTGCCATTAGCACCTAAACCCATCCCAAGACTGATCAAATCACCATTGTCAACTCAAGGACAGCCAATACAGAGTAAAATATTAGCAAAATATTAATCATAGCCATCCTATCACATATTTGTTTTTATAAATAACAAATCTAATTTAAAAGTATAAACTTGAAGTAAACACCTTTCAGCTGGAGTTTGTTGATGGTTTTCTCAGTCCCAGATTTGTAAACCTCAAGATACTCTTTCCATATCCTTTTGTAGGTGGACGATGCTGTGCCTTTTCCCCGGATGGGAAAGCCTTGGCTGTAGGGCTGAATGATGGGAGTTTTCTGGTGGTAAACGCTGACACTGTGGAAGACATGGTCTCTTTTCACCACAGAAAGGAAATGATCTCTGATATAAAGTTTTCACAAGGTATAATCAGCTGATCAGGTGAAAGGGCAGTGTTTATCTTGGAGTCTGTTTTTCTCCTCTAGCTGAAAGGTTGAATGTTCAGAAGGTAGACTGGCTTTATGTGTGCTCCGTGCATTTGAACATTTTACAGTTCTGTATGGCCAAGAGTAATGATGCCCACCCCTACATGGTGCATTTGGATGCACTGCAGTAGTAAAAATGCATAACAATAGTAATTATAACATGTACACCTTTAATAACCTCAGTGTCTCTTCTTTACAGAATCGGGAAAGTACCTGGCTGTGGCTTCCCATGATAATTTTGTAGATATTTACAATGTACTTACCAGCAAAAGAGTTGGCATTTGTAAAGGTGCATCTAGCTATATCACACACATTGACTGGGACTCAAGAGGTAAAACATTGTTTCACCAGAGATACAGATATAAAGTGCCTGTAAAACAGAGTGTCAGTAAAATGTTCTCCTATGGTTACTAATACAAACTGTAACTAATAATGCAAATATTTTTTCAACACCGAGCACCATATGGGTTCAGTGGTACATCACTGGGTACATTTGTTGGCGGAATTCATCCTCACTTGCAGCATCTGTAGCAGAGTACCTGGTACTTCACTGCTGAAAGCATACGACCAGAATGTTATTTACAAACGTAATATTGCTTTTCTTTGCCCTGTTCTTTTTATAGTTTTGTAGTTGTGGCACACTTTTCCACCTTTTATGTCCAATTTCCTTTTTTCTTTGCTGAGCGTTATGTGGCAATGAAGTTAGAGAGCCTTAATGTCACAGCTAATTAAGTCTAGCAGGATGGATAATTAGCTTGTGCAAATAAGCCTTCCCAGAGCCAATATGATTCTGTGTGGAGGCACCTGTGTGTGTGAGCCCCCACCTCCCCAGCTGTGCTAGTCCCAGACCCTGGTGCCAGCTCCCTGACAGCAGCAGGGGCTGAGCTTCCTCCGGAACCAGGTCTGGGTGCTGTCGGTGAGCTCTGAGCCGTGGTGCCACCCTGCCCCTGCTCACAGCCCTGCTGCTCTGCCTGCTGGCACTTGGCAACCTCACAACAGCCATGTGTCTGCTACTGCCCCTATGAGCTGCAGTAGCCAGTTCTCGGATGTCTTATGTGCAGAGATAGGAAGTAGAAGAAAACAGAAAATTCTTTGTGTCCTTAATGGTATTTATTGGAAACTCCAACTGAACTTGTAGACGTAAAGGATTAATGTACTAAATTGTATAACCTGGTTTATACAGGTGCAGTAGGAAAGGCCCGATAGTGCTAGTGTCCTATTGCACTTCTTGTGGTCAGTGATGCTCACAGACTGAACCTAGCTCATGCCATGAAGGGCAGGATAGCAAAGTCAAAATGCAGCAACGCTGAAACTGCACTACTTGATGTCAGTCGATCATCTGATCCAGTGTCGTTGGGTAAAAGAGTGCTTTCCCTGGTCGTCATGCAGGTTAGATACTGCAGAACTGCTTTTATGTTAATAATAAATCCCCCCAGGACTTCTTACGCTAGTATAATTGTTGCAATTTGGAAAAATCAGAAAATGTCTCTAATTTTCTTATGTGAGAACTATGGTAAAACTAGATTTGAAAGCATTTTTTTGCTACTCGGTGCACAAATACCTGCTAATATACTATCAGTTGAATACAGAAGTATCTTCATAATATTTGTATGGGTATGGTAAACTTCATAGTCAGAGACAGTTTGGTGTGTACCTGGACTATATATGCCAGTTAAGCAACACAAAACAGACAGAAGTTTACAGTGTTTTTAACTTTTGGCAGAGCTCTATTGCAAAATTGTGATGAAAGCTTAATAGCTTACGTCTTTATGTGGTTTTTTTACTTTCCATCATCGTGATGATGACAACGCAGGCAAAATGCTTCCTATCAGAAGAAAGGGATTTGCTGCAAGACAGTAATTTTTTCAGGATGTTGGATGGTATTTAAAATGCTAGTGCTGCAGTGAATCGGGAGTATAGGATTCTTACGAGAGAGCTTCTGAGCATCTGTTTGACTTTTGCTGTGAATAACTCTCTGGAGGATAATTTCTTAGTTTACCCCCAGAAATCTCTTCACTCAATCAAAAGAGAGTTCATAATATTCATAATAATGAATAAGATTCATAATAAACTCTTATTTCGTATCCAGGAAAGTTATTGCAAGTCAATTCTGGTGCCAAAGAACAACTATTTTTTGAAGCACCAAGGGGGAAAAGGCATATTATAAGAATTGCCGAGGTACGAATTATGCTTACTGGATTTTTTTACTGTGAAAGTTATTTTTCTGGACTGTTGAAAAATAGCATATTTTGTCTTCAAAGGATATCTTTTTTCCTTTTAAAATACTATATTTACAGCAGTTAGAATTAGAATTATTTAATAATTCTGCATATGTCTTTCCTAGCATTTGTAAACGGTAGAACTTGCAAGTTTCTGTTTGTATATCTCAATTTATTGTTGTTTGTTGAATAGCAGTCATTTCCCACAATCCCCTTTCCTGAACCATCACCCATGTTCTGTGTAATCCGTGTGCATACAGGTTATAAACCATCTTTAAACAGTATCACCTGGCTTTTAATGACCTTGATTATTTGTGACAGATAATTCTTCTACAAAATTGCCAGTGTTTAGCACCTCAGAAATCTTTAAGGAGATTTGTATCCAAATCATCCTCTACTGTGGGAAAGTGGGAATGTTTTAAAGGTTTAAGCCTTTTGATGAAGAGATGCCATTTGCATTAACAGGCTGGAAACTGTGAACAGTTTCTAAAATTGCAAAACCCCAAAACGTTAGTATGAAACATAGAAAAATACACATGAAAGCAGTGTGTATTTGGTATGTATTAAGATGAGTTCTTTTGGGACCATTTTGATTGCAGATAGAGAAGATTGAGTGGGACACCTGGACGTGTGTTCTCGGTCCTACTTGTGAAGGAATCTGGCCCACGCCCAGCGATGTCACCATTGTAAACGCAGCTAGTCTTACAAAAGACGGAACGCTGTTAGCTACAGGAGATGATTTTGGTTTTGTCAAGCTTTTTTCATATCCAGCGAAGGTAATAAGTGTTTTTATTTCTGTGGTTAGAAACCCCGCAAGAAAAGGAATTGAGGAAGACGCTGTGGGCAATATGTCAGAGTGCTAATACGTGAATTCTTTGTACTACAGGGACAACATGCAAAATTCAAGAAGTACGTGGGTCACAGCGCCCAGGTAACCAACGTTCGGTGGTTACACAATGATTCTGTGCTGCTGACTGTAGGTGGTGCTGATACAGCTTTGATGATCTGGACCAGAGAATTTTTGGGCATTCAGGAGAGTAAGCTGGTTGATAGTGAAGAATCAGACACAGATGCAGAAGAAGATGGAGGTAAAAAGGATTGTATAAAACACGTCTTTAACTTAGTCTTGATTCCACAGAGACTCACGCAGGTGTTTATCTTGAAGTGGGCAAGAAACTTTTGTGTGCTGAAGTTCAGCGTAGGGAGAGCTTGCTAGGATTTGTTTCCTTCCTTTTATTGGTGAAGATGATCTTGTTTTCTACTCTTCTCCTATAAAACAAGGGTAGTTTGTTTTATTTTATGTTTTATTTCTCTAAGGTTATGATAGTGATGTTGCAAGAGAAAAAGCAATTGACTATACCACTAAGATCTATGCAGTAAGCATCCGAGAAATGGAAGGGACAAAACCACATCAACAGCTGAAGGAAGTTTCAGTAGAAGAGAGGTATGTCACACAAAGGCATTCGTTTCCAAATGTACATTGCATTCTTTTGGATCTCTTTTCATTCAGCTAAACTTAGTCCTTAAGAATAAAGCAGGAATTTGAAAACTCACAAGATAAAATTTCAAATGGTATTCACAGGGCACAATGTGTTAACGTGATGGAGAAAAATCTGTGTATGTAAGTAAAATACCACAGTGTTGTGTTCTCTTCTGCTGTTCACATAAGCAGTTACAGTCTAATTAGTATGTGTAGCTGTACGTATGTCTGCAGGAGGGCTTTTGTGACAAGGTGAGCTTATAAATACTTCACAGTTATGTTTTTTGGTGATGTTTTCATTGATGGATTTTCAGTTGCTTATAATTGTGCCAAGTCATTAACTGTTAAAGCTGAAATTTTCCATGGCACGCGTTGGCCTTAGGTTGAATTATTCTGAAAAAAATAAGGTGAAAGGAGAAACAGTAGTGGTGAGGACAGTAAAGAAAACAGGTAAGAGCTAAGCATAGAGGGTGAGGTCCAGTGAAACACAGACTTAGGGGGGTGGGTGAGTAAAAACATTCCCCTTTGGAAAGGGGAAGAGTAAATATGCACCTGCAAATCCAGTTGATGACTCAACTGTGAATTCATGTGATAAAATTTCTCTTGGTAAGTGGTCTTTCCTTTATCAGGAGTTATCTTGCTTTTGCCCAGGGTTGGGCACTGACCAAAACCACTGCTGTGGGTCAACCCACAAAAAGAATTTAAGCTTCGTTGTTTCCTCCCAGTTTCCCCAGAACACATGAGTAGTAACAATGCCAGTAGCGTGATGACACATTGCTCTCCCCACAGGGAAGAGTAGTTTGAGGAGGGGATCCCTAGTGCTCAGGGAGTACAGGGGGTGCAGAGGCAGGGCTGGTGCCCTGCAGGAGCCCAGCTGCAGGTTTTGGCAGCGATGAAAGCACTCCAGAGAGCTGCCTGCCTGCTGCTCCTGCTCCTGTCACAGAGCTGCTGGCCATGCCTGGCTAGGAGAGTGTTTTTAGAGGCAGCAGCTCGCTCTGTGCAGCACCTCATTTCCTGCTGTCAGCAGGGAGGAGGACAGCTGAATTGGCAGAAAAACTGCACACTCACAGCTGCAAGGGGAGATCACTTAAGCGCTTCTTTGAACAAACGTAATTACATTGAACAGATTAAGGGCTAAGGTTCTTGTACTTCACTACTGAAAATTAGTGGCAACTTTTGATTTTTTTGGTTTTAAATCTCGTTGGTGTCCTGATTTGCAAGGCACAAAACGGAGCTAGTAATACTTCCTAATCTCATCCGAAGCAGACCTTTGATTCCATAAACTAGCTTATGTTTTTAAAGCTCTCAAACAAAGCTGTGCTGAACATCATGGACAGGAAGGTGATAATTAGTAATTTTGCAGTTGGTATTTGAATAGGAGAACAAATGGTGGGTATGAAAGATGAGAAGAAAAATGTTGCACCTATTTTATTTTTTTCATCACAACATTTTAACAAAAATATATAGCCAGGAGGATCAGTGGGTTTTTTTTCAATAAAAGGTTGGCCCATAACCATTTATTTTCCCCTTCTTATAAGGATATCTCTTTCCTTTTTCTCGTTTACTCATATAAAGTCTTTGTTCCTCCATTTTTTCTACATTTTTCTACATAATATCTAGTACACGTGAATGTTTTGAGATGGAGTTAAAGAAAAAAATATTTTGCTTTGGGTGAATACTGCTAAACTGTTACTAAACAGCAAGTGCCAGTGGCTAGATGTTTTACACCAGAAAACCTTTTATCTTCCAGCTGCTTTATTCCGCTTTGATGATGCAAAAGCGACTGTAGAGTGAGTTTAATTGACCGGTTAAACTGGGTTTACAGTTGTTTTGTACTAGTGAATTACCAACAATATGAGCGCAAGCACCGGTCTCTTCTGCAGCTTTTCAGCACTGTGTTCAGTCCAGGAGGGAAAGGCAGGGCAGGCCCTTTGGGTCGCTAGGGAGCTTTCTTTCTCTGAAACTTGGCCTCGGAAGCAAGTACCCTGCTTCTCAGAGGAGCACCTTTGGCTTCATGACATTCCAGCCTGGCCACATTCTCGGTCCTAAACTGCCTAAATGAATTCAGCCGAACCCGCTGCGCAGAAGGCACCCCCTGGAATGAACAGGCAGTTTGCCTTTCTTCAACCTTTTTAACAAAACATATAGTACCCACAAAGCAGGAGGTAGGAAGACAAACTGACGCTGGTAATCCATAAGGCAGGTAAAACATGCTCTGTGCTATCCAACATGACAAAGCAACACCGATGCTGGGAGCTCCTCCAGTGTTTCCATACCACCCCCTCTGTTTGTGGCTGGTGGGCCTAATTAAATGAGTAAACACCTCCTCTGCACTGAGGTTGCTTCTGATTTCTCTAATAGTCTCTTCATAATGACTGTACATGGAAACAGCTTACTGTGCCCTATCTGAAGAAATAGTCTATCCCATACCAAGTTCTAGACTCAAGAGAAAAAAAAGAGAAGGTTTTAACATTCTCCGTATCTTTTTTCTTCTTACTGCCTCCAGTTAATCAAGTTTGGTTCTTCATTTTAAAATAGCTTAAAAATAAACTCTTGTAACTGTCCTTCCCATCTTTTCTGCTGAAAAATCACAGGTATTCTACACATTTTTTTTTTTGTATGTCCTCTTTCAATTACAGCTACTTCAATCCCATCTTTGGTATTTGCTGTTCTGATAAATTTGTCAACAGATCCCATATTCTTCATATATAGCTTGTTAGGCAAAGGTATATTCACCTCCCTTTCTTCGTCAAATATTTATTTATAAATCGAATTTGTAGTCAAACTATTAGCAACAGATTTTGTGGTGAAATGTAGGCAGAGCTGCAGTTTATGGGGCTGTTGTGCTGGGAGAGGGCCTTCAGCTGTGAAAGGTACTGGGGTTTGGGTGCAGTAAAATGAGATTAATGTGTTGGCTGCTGTGGTTGTCAAAGACTTCACGTTTTGTGTGCGTATTGGTACAACTGTGGCCAATTTGTGCAGAATCTCGACCCTCCCAGTTATGAGTGCTTCGGAGTGAAGCTGACATCTTTCATAAGACATATGAATGTTGAGGAAAGCTTCATAGCTGTGCCAGACTTCATCTTTTCTGAGAATATAGAAGAGTGCAGCAGCTAATGAAGGGTTTGTCTGACTGTATCCTAAAAGCTTCCTGAAAGCATTGGTATGACTTATCTTTGTACCTAGAAGCATCCAAAGTGACAGTCAGTCAAACCAGATGAAATTAAAGTTTACAACGAGTCAGCTGTAAGTGTTCAGGAAAGCCTAAGTTCTAAAGAAGGGAGTGTTAATGGCTCAGGAGCAGGTGGTCCCCAGGTGCTCTAAGAGAAGCCAGTGCCAGAGACCACCCTGGCTGAACAGGGAGCTTTGGCTGCAACTCAGGGAGAAAAGGAGAGTTTACAGCCTTTGGAGGAAGGGGCTAGACACTCATAGTGATTACAGAGAGGCTGTGAGGCTATGCAGGGTGGAAATCAGGAGGGCTAAAGTCCAACTGGAGATTAATTTGGCCTCTGCAATCAAGGACCACAAGAAATGTTTCTATAAGTATGTCAGTAGCAAAAGAAAGTCCAGGGAGAGTCTCCATCCCCTGCTAGGTGCAGGAGGAAACAGGGTAACAAGTGATGAGGAGAAGGCTGAGGTGCTTAATGCCTTCTTTGCCTCAGTCTTTAATAACAAGACCAGTTGTACTGAGGGAATCCAGCCTCCACAGCCAGAATACAGAGACTGGGAGACCGACCCCCCTGCAATCCAAGAGGAGACAGTGACCTGCTGCATCACACAGACACACATGTCTATGGGACCAGATGGGATACACCCGAGGGTGCTGAAGGAACTGGCTGGGGTGCTCGCCAGGCCACTTTCTATCATTTCCCAGCAGTCCTGGCTGACCAGGGAGGTCCCAACTGATTGGAAATTGGCCAATGTGATGCCCATCTATCAGAAGGGTCGGAAGGATCATCTGGGGAATTACAGGCCTGTCAGCTTGACTTCTGTGCCCGGGAAGCTGATGGAGCAGCTCACCCTGAGTAACATCACACAACACATGCGAGACAACCAGATGCTCAGGCCCAGTCAGCAGAGGTTTATGAAAGGCAGGTCCTGCTTGACAAACCTGATCTCCTTCTACAACAGGGTGACCTGCTTATTGGATGAGAGAAAGGCTGTGGATGTAATTTACCTTGACTTTAGCAAGGCTTTTGACACCGTTTCCCACAACATTGTCCTGGCAAAAATGGCTGCTTGAGCCTTGGACAATCACACACTTTGCTGGGTAAAAAACTGGCTGGACGACCAGGCCCAGAGAGTTATGGTGAATTGAGTTAAATCCAGTTGGCGGCCGTTCACTTGTGGTTTCCCGCAGGGCTTGGTCTTGGGGCCACTCCTGTTCAGCATCTTTATTGATGATCTAGGCGAGGGGATCAAGTGCACCCTCAGTCAGTTTGCAGCTGACACCCAGTTGGGTGGGAGTATTGATGTGCTCGAGGGTAGGGAGGCTCTGCAGAGAGACCTGGACAGGCTGGAGCCATGGGCTGAGCCCAACTGGGGGAGTTTCAATCAGGGCAAATGCCAGGGGCTGCCCTTGGGCCACAACAACCCCCAGCAGCGCTACAGGCTTGGGGAGGAGTGGCTGGAGAGCTGCCAGTCAGAGAGGGACCTGGGGTGTTGATTGACAGCCGGCTGAACAGGAGCCAGCAGTGTGCCCAAGTGGCCAAGAAGGCCAATGGCATCCTGGCTTGTGTCAGCAATAGTGTGGCCAGCAGGGACAGGGAAGGGATCTGACCCCTGTACTTGGCACTGGTGAAGCCACACCTCGATTCCTGTGTTCAGTTTTGGGCCCCTCACTCCAAAAAGGACATTGAATGACTCGAGCATGTCCAGAGAAGGGCAACAAAGCTCGTCAAGGATCTGGAGCGCATGTCATATGAGGAGCAGCTGAGGGAACTGGGATTTTTTAGTCTGGAAAA